GATATCTCCATGTTCCATGATGTCTCAGAAACGCTCAAGTCTTTCTTTGTGCTGTAAGATGACAACGGAACGAAAGAAAGGGAGAATTTGGTGGTGTGCGACCAATGGGCTTGCCTGATGTATTTTTAATGTGCATGAATGATTGATCACTGTATGTAGACACATGCTCCCCCGAGGGGCGGCTGCAGTCCGTCTGGTGCTGTCGGTGCAGACATGAGTGCAGCCAGACCTTCTGCACTGAGCGTGAACACTGTGGAGTTAAAGCATCAGTGGGCAATGCAGAGAAACCGCACTCTGGTCCGGACGTACCTGCTTTCCAGCTCTGCAATCCCTCTTCCTGCCTCGTGGAGCAGAGATGATTTCAGGCTTCCATCATTGTCCAGATCAACACATGGTCGGAACACCATGGTGACTCTCAGGTAAGCTGATATCTGGCGCCTCCAACTCTATTGGCTGGGACTCCAGGAGCAATTTTAGAGAAGTCCTTAATTAAAACTATTAACATCACTGATTCCATCTAAATACATTGTTTTATACCAACAAAACTATTTTAATGCGTTAAATCAGGAGGAAATAGTGGAATTCATATAAAAAAAAAATCATTCAATAAAAGGATCTATGTATTATATGACTAATTTTTTTTAAGAAAATTGAAGGCACATGAAATTGAATTTTAGGTTAATATTTATAGTATTTCAATTCAATATTTGTCAAATTAATTTTCATCTAAAAAATTATTTTTCAAATTCAGAATAAGTGTAATGCCTACAGCAATGCAATACCCAGAATTAGTAGTTTGTTGAGGTCTGCATTAAACTTCTAAGCTGTACATGTGTAGACATGTCTTTGTCAAAAACTGCTACACACCATGGAGAACCAGGTGGAGAACGCTCTAGAAACCTGAGAAACATTCTTCTTGTGTGGCAACACCCAAACAGCTCACAGGAAAAAACAACAGCTAAATTACACTGATTATCCAATGACAGCAGCTAATGTTCCAATGGGGTTCTCAAACAGTAATGTGAATGATTGCTATATTTGTAAAAGAAGAGGAAAGATGTAAAATATTATTAATGTATTTTTTATTTTATTTTTTACAAATATCATGTTGTATAAAAAAATTATTGTTTGTGAGTCTCAGTTGGTAGACCTATTGCGTAGTTATCAAAATTCTAACATCTTAAAGTGAAAACATTCTCTACTTTTCAAGTTTGGCGTCAGTAAGATTTTTTTTAAGAATCTTTGCTGACCAGCCATCTAGATTTAAAATTAGTCAAGTTCAAGTATTAATATTTAAAACTGTTTTCTATTTGAACATATTTTAAAATTAAATGTATTCTTGATATCATAACTGAATTTTCAGCATCTTTAGTCCAGTCCATGGGTCACATGATCATTCAGAAAATCATTAGGTCGTCAACAGCAACGCTTCGCAGTAGATGATCGGTGTTGGTGTTTTGGTGTAAAATACCGCGAGAGCGATGCGAAAGCATGGAGAACTCTCGCGGTACTTTGATGTCGTGCCGATTCGAAAACGCCTTCTTTGCTGCTCATCTCAAAAAACATTTCGTAATATTGAATTTATTGTTATTATTTTTTTTTTCAAATAACTTATAAACAACTTTCCCCAAAAAATACTTTTTTGAACAGAAGGTCTTTGTCTTTCTATTCCTTCCGCTTACATATTCTTTTTTTGATTAACCTCATATCTGCCTGTTTTTGGTCTCCCTCCCAGTAAAAGTGAACCTTCCCTGTTCACCCCAGGCCAGAGGGCTGCTTTCGAGGGGCTTTCAAAAAACCACCACCCCCTTTTATGCAAACGTGGTGGCCCATCTCTTCCCTCCTGCAAGACCCCTACTGTGAACACATCGACAACTCAACAGAGCTATCATCAAGTGTATATGCATTTCTCTCAGCCTCTCAGGCCTGTACTAAAGCCTGGACAAACGCTTCCTCGCAGTCAGCGGCGGCCCACGGAGAGAAAAGAGAGGCAGCCCGTAAACCTCGAGACGTTATCTGTCAGGGGAAAGACTTTCCTCCCCACCCGCCATTACCCTGACGGCGCTTCATCATCTCGGTCTCACACACACCAGCTGCATGTGTTCCTGCCTGCAGAGGGCGCTGGGCCGGGGGAAGACCGGGACAGTGAGTCGATTGATGAGGGTTTCATGGATGAGCTGGATAGCAAAGTTAACACACTGAGGGCGAGGCTTCAACAATATCCAAAGAAACCCAAACAGTGTGATATAGAAAAATCACTGACAGGTGAAATGGTACAATTAACATCTTAGCATTGAAGCATTTCATATTTTGCGATATCTGAACTAGAAATTACAAATGTTTACTCTCAAGCAATGTGTGTAAATTATAATTTATTTCATTATAATAAAACAAAATTATGATAAAAAAATGTTGTGTGTTGATGTATAGAAGGAAATGATATCCCCAGGTTGTTATATGAACTACAATACAGGCCTATTGATTCCAATTAAAGCTGTTAAAAATTGACCAAAGTATTTGTTTTTTATCTAGTACGTACCAGCCGGTGTTCAAAGCTGTCTGCTTGCCTTAGCTCGATTTAAAGCGGTAAGCTTGTAATAATGTTTTTAATTCTAGTGGTACTGGTGGATTTCCGCGGGAGATTCAAGCATGTCTTTGCGTCAGTACGTCACATCTGTACACATAAAGAAGAGTCTCGGGCGGCTAGTATACGATATATTGAGTCATTACGTCACATCGCGGTGACTGGCAGCCGCACATTCTCCTCAAAACATTGGATTCATCTGCTCTGTGTCAAGGCAACTGGTTCTCATTCCCAGGGCATCATATTGCTTTTGTCACGTCTACCACACATGGCACACTTTAGCGTCAATATGAGACGCACAGAGCTTTCCACTTACTCCAATGTAGGCCAAACCATGTACAACCATCTGCGGTATTGGACGCCCAGGGCATAGCGAACTGAGTGTTGAAGTAACTGCATAAGTTTGTGGACTACCGGCAAGATGGTGGAATGGGCAAGCAATACTATCTGATTCTGAGCTCTTGTTCACCTGCTCCGAATTTTTTACTTAAAATTTTAATATGAGTGATTAAAAGGGTTAAAAACGGTAAAGTGAACATTTTTTTCAAACATTTAAAGCCCAATCAATGTTTTAACCAAACATGCCAAACAGAAAGATGAAACCTAGATCAGCCGCTACCTCAGGCAAAGCAAACACCATGGTTACACGCAGATGGATGTTACAACCTGTGGCGGCGAAAAAATTTCCCTTCTACTCCAACGGAAGGTGCAGTGCCTCCTTCAAAGGCAAAAACCTCACAAGATGTGTCTGAAGTTCCAAATGCGGTGCTCGTTGAAGCTATAGAAAAGCTTGCCTCCAGAATCGATCGCTTTGGTGACCAGCTGAGAGAAAGCTCTGTCATAGTGGCTAGACGTGGATGCCACCGAGATTAAAGAGTCCAAGGTCAAGATTCAAGCCATAGAAAAAGAAATGCCCCGTCTCGTAAAGGAAAACGAAGAGCTGAAAGATAAAATCACGGAGTTGGAGTTTTACAAGAGACGCCGGAACCTTAAAATACATAGGTTGAAAGAAAAAGTTGACGTAAACATCCGAGACGTGATCAAGAGCATCCTTTCCAAATTAGTGCCGCAATGGCAGCATTCATCAATGGATTCGGTAGTCGATACTGTGCACCGCATAGGGAGAAAAGAAAAGGGGAGAGACCGTCAGGTTATTATCCAATTCGCCATGAGATTCCACCGTGATTCCATCTGGAAGCTGTCTAAAAACTCAAAGATTTGCAAAGATCTGCAGTAGCACCTTTCACAGTACAAGTTGAGAGTTGGATCCAGATCTAAGGGGTGGAGATGGGTAGGATTAGGGATCAGGGGGTGGAGATGATTAGGGGTGGGGTTAGGGATCAGGGGGTGGAGATGGGTAGGATTAGGGGTGGGGTTAGGGATCAGGAGGTGGAGATGGGTAGGATTAGGGGTGGGGTTAGGGATCAGGGGGTGGAGATTTGAAATTAGATGGGTTCCATTTTTACTGGACAATGATCTACAAGCATAATTTCAGTCCTCACAACATCCCTTTGTGGAACTGTATGTCGTATTTAGGAAAAAGTCCTTATTCTACAAAAAATGGCGAGAGAATGGAAAATGGTCAGTGATGCATATTTTAGATAAAACTGGATACTCATTTGAGACTGTCCTTTGAGACTTTCTGTTTAAAATTTTATTTATTTGACAGAAACAGTATGATAACATCAAAGCAATCCCACATTCTATAATTTAGATTTATTTCAGCGCATCCCAAGTAATGTAACCCCCTTAAGATTTTAAGAAACATCTTAAATTTCCAGTTGCACCAAAAGCAAAGGAAATACATTTAAACATTTTGAATGGAGTTTATCCATCAATCCATCATCATAATTTTTAGGATGTCGATTTGGTTTTGCCTATACCTTTTGGGAGGACTTGCATGGTTATTCCCTAATTTTTAAGATTTACCTGTACTAAAGGAATATGTAATTTTTGGTATCTTTATGAAAGATAAAATGCTAGGTTTGGCAGTTAACACATTTATAGTTCTTGGAAAATTCTTTTACCACAAAAATAGATTCCTGATAACACTTTCAAATTTTTATGTTTTTCATAAAAAATGTATTACTTATTATCGCTAAAAAGAATGCCTGATCTTTTTGACTTTGATAGAAGATGCTTTCTGAAAACCCCAACCCCCTTTTTTTCTTTTTTTTTTTTTTTTAAAGTGTTTTGCTGCTTGTCTGACATTTCTGTGTTGTACTTGACCATTTTTGGTTGTTCTTGTTGTTGATACTGTTCACATATAATGTGGCGCTCACACTGTTTATTCTGTTATATGATTACTGATTCATCTGCTGTTGGGGAGAGGCTTCCGGGAGGGATATAGTTAACGGGGAGGGGCTTAAGACGAAAAGGAGCGAGAGAGAGAGAGAGAGAGAAACTGAAAGCGGTGCGGAGAAAAAAAGTATTCTACATCTCTATTTGGGCGTTCATGTTGTTTTTGGGGGACAGTTAAGGGAGAACTCCTGGTAATTTTTAAGTTAATCTTGATCCTTATAGCTTTGTGAGTAATGTCTATTGAAAACAAATTGGTGCTTGTAACACAGAGCTGCTACAGCTAATGCCCAGAGCTCCCACTCAGCTAAAACGGCAGTTATGGGGGCATGTACATAAAGAGTGTATTTGTGCCTCTTAACAGACACAAAATGCAATTAAAATGTCTGTCCAACATGAACAGGACCCTTACAATACAACAAGATGCGTTTAGCAACTTAGCCATTGTTTACATCGACCTAAATAAGTGTTTTAGACGGCTAGCTGTAGAGCGCTGAAGTCCCGTGGGAACTGTACGTTAGCCGGAAGAAAATAGCAGTGTGTGTGCAGGCGGGAGGAGCGAAGTGTAGGCTATCAAGAATGAAGATTGGTGCTCACAAGTGAAGAAGAAATGGTTCGCGTTTGTGCCGTTCCGAATTGTGGCAACAAAATGCGAAAATATAAAAACTTAAATTTTCATCGTCTTCCTCTCCGTGATCGCGAGATTCTGCCGTTGTGGCTAGATGTTCTTCAACTTGATGTGAAAACTCCCATACAAATACTACGCGCTAAAGATTACCGCGTTTGCAGCGAACACTTTGACAAGGATGATTACACAAACACAGCACATCGGGGCCGGTTGAAGAAAAATGCCATTCCCTGGACGAAGACGGGAGCAGCCACTGTGGAGGGAACGTTAAATGTAATAAAAACTTTATTTATCCTTTCATTTGGGCACACACGGCTTGAGGAGAGATCTGCAAAAATATAATTGTTTTTGTAGTCTTATTTGCAAAACTTTAATTGTTTCACTAGCCTTTAATGTCTTCAATTATATTTGTGTAAGAGCTAATTTCTATGAGAATACAATGACTTGCTAGAGAGAATAAAGTGGGTGGGAGGGTGAGGGGCTATTTTCCCAGAGAAGTCATGTCAAATGACGTCTCTGGGAAAATACTGTCCGAATGACCACACTAAAGGATAGATACAAATAGCAAATATTACTGTGTTATGCAGTTGAATAACTCCCACCTGCAAACTCCCTCATAGCACACACCCATAGCACACAGGCCTATATCACGGAGACGTCTATTTGAAGTGTGTGTTTACATATGGAAGAGTGATTGCTCACCTGCAATATGTATGACGTTTCCTGTCAGATGTCAAATAGACGTTTAGAAGATGTCTTGATTTAGAATGCATGTTAAACTGACATCTTAAAGGGACGCTCCACCCATTTGCATTAAGCTTTCCCTTGTTAGAAACCCAGTTATACTATTGAATGGTCGTGCAACACCCTCTATTCTCCCCTCCTGAGCTGAGTAGTAACTTTAGCGGTTACCATCCTCTTTTTGCTGGACATGTCCGGGCGTCGATGTCCGGGATTCAGCTTTTGCTTTCTGCAGTCGCCGTTCATTGTTTACATGCACAGCTTTTGTTTCATTCCATTCCATCTTCTTCCGCTCATCCGGGGCCGGGTCGCGGGGGCAGCAGTCTAAGCAGAGATGCCCAGACTTCCCTCTCCCTAGACACTTCCTCCAGCTCTTCTGGGGGGATACCGAGGTGTTCCCAGGCCAGCCGGGAGACATAGTCTCTCCAGCGTGTCCTAGGTCTTCCCCGGGCCCTCCGCCCAGTGGGACGTGCCCGGAACACCTCCCCGGGTTTTGTTTCAATCTAACTGAATTCATTCTGATTGGTGAATCGGAATGTAGTCTTTACATGAACACTAAAAATGTGATCGGATGATGTGCGTTTTAACATTGCTAAGAATACATTTTCTGGCTTTTCTCAGTCTAGAAAGCTCCAAATTCAAAAATAGTTTCACATTTCTTCTACATAAATGACCCATTTTATACACATTCATCTGTCCAGAGTTTACAGTTTGTAAACAGCAGATGCTTTCCAGATGAAGAAATCTTTAACAGACACCTTGCAGACATATGTGTGCTATCTGGGCTGCTATTTACCTTTTTCCAGCTACTACTGAGTTCCCATGGGACTTCAGCGCTCTACAGATAGCCGTATAAAACACTATTTAGGTGAATTTAAACAATGTCTAAGTTGCTAAACACATATTGTTGTCATGTAAGGACCCTGTTGATGTTGGACAGGCATTTTAATTGTATTTTGTGTCTGTTAAGAGGCACAAAGACACTCTTTATGTACATGCCCCCCTAACTGCCGTTATAGCTGAGTGGGAGCTCTGGGCATTAGCTGTAGCAGCTCCTTGTTGCAAGCACCAATCCGTTTCGGGTTGTTTTTTCTATAGACAGAACTCACAAAGGTATAATGATGAAGATTAACTTAAAGGAGCATTCCACCCATTTTAACATTAATCTTTATTGAAAGTGAATCATATGTAGTCGAAATGTAAAATAATTTTTGAATTTGGTGCCCTCTTGACTGAGAAAAGACAGAAATTAACCAAAGGGTGCATTTGTATGAAAGACTACAGCACCAACAATGCACCACATTGCACAGCTCCGCAAGCCACACCCACTAATCTGGAACTGCGAGCACATCTGAGAAATCAAGGCTAACGTTAGCTGCCACCAGAGTTTGAAATTCATTTCACACAAAATTTCTAGTTAGTTGGCTGTGGTGAGTGGGACGAGGGACGTGAGAGCGGCGCGAGAGGACTGCGCGAGGCCGGTGCCGTGAGTGATAATGAAAGACGAGATGCACCGACCGGTCTCGTATCTCTCACAGAGGAGCGGCAGCATAAACGTCAGATCGAGAGAGAAACAGGCCTGATTTTATGTTGTGTGTGTGGACATCAGTTTTCAATGAGGGGCTGGCTTATACTTTCCTTTTGTATTTGTTCATTTTACTATTAAAATGTCTAAATGTTCACCGATTCCTGCCTCCTTCTTCCCACAACAACAAACCCCGTTAACGTTACATTGGCAAACTCATCAGTGAATTACTCCTCGTTTGTATTTCTTTCTAAATATGGTGTATTACTGCATGATACCTGGATCAGGGTTCCTATGCAATATGCAACCATTTTTTGAGAATGTGCGAGTGTGGTCACATATGTGCGAGTGGACGCTCGCGCAACAGAACGGCGTTGTATCAGCTGCTGCAGTCCGTAACTTATGTTCAAAATGAACGAGTAGGCTACATCATCATGAATCCGTTTTCCAAACCGTGTTTTTGACTTATCCTGAATCACAACAGTACGCCTACAATAAGTGTTTATATTCTGACTATTTTATCTCGGAGTCGACTCGGATGCGGAGTTACCCAGTGCCTGCGTGACTCGCCATAAACATTAATGGAGAGAAATAGCTCCAACTATAGAAAAAAAAAAAGAAAGAAAAAAGGTGCGACCATCTGAGAAAGTTGGTAGCACCAGTTCAACCACTGGAAAAGTTAGTCTGGAGCCCTGTGGATGTTCCGTCAGGATGGTTCACATCACAACACAAAAGTCTGTGTGCTTGTCTGATTCGGAGATTTCGTCCAGGAGAAATTGCCATTGTTGAAATTCTCTGCAGCAGACGGACTATCTGTGTCCGTAGTAGCACGTAGCGAGAGCACATGCACAGCAGTCCACCTCAGCTCGAGCCAGTCCGGGCTCCTCGATTGTGACAGGCAGCCGGCTCCGGTTCCTCCATCAGCCTCAGCTGCTCTTCACTATACAGTCCTTCCAGAAAGGTTTTTGAAAGGCTGATTTTGCATTGAATTGAGCGATCACATAATCGCGTTTTTCTGGAGGGACTGACTATACTGCGGCTCGTAAAGATAGCCACGAACATCGGATCCGAGCAGCAGAATTTCAAAATCCTCTTCTTCCATATCATGTTTAGTTTATTCCGACATTGTCATACTTCCACTATCTCCACAGCGCTTGTTAGCTTAGCTTCCAAACAAGATGGCTAATGTTTGTAGTCTCTAAACATTTGAATGAAATGTGACTTCCTGCTTATTATGACGCAAAATGACGATTTTTACGTCACAATAAGCAGGAAGTAAAACGCTTAAATCCTTATTTCTCCCATCTCAAGGGAAAATAAGGGAATAAACCATGACCATTCAAAAATATGACTGGGTTTCTAAAGATACAAAGCTTAATGCAAATGGGTGAAGTGTCCCTTAAAAAAATTGCCCAGAGTTATTTTTGCATATGGCAAAATGTTGACAATTATTTTACACCTAAATTATTAACTAATTATTTGGAGTAATGTGTTTTTGTGTCGTCTTGAATTACACAGAGTGAGGCTCAGAAGGAACTCGAGTCACAGAGGGAACACAACCCAACAACAAGTATGTGCACAATTAGTCGACTTTTACTAGTTCTACTTGTATAATAACTAGGGCTGGTTATTAATATATATATATATTAATATATGTGTGTGTGTGTGTGTGTGTATATGTGTATATATATATATATATATATATATATGTCTACAAATTGCCATAATTATCTTCAGTCCACCAATAGTGATAGATCAGTAGTAGAACTTGAGATCGGTGATTGTATGCTTTATGCCGTAGGCACTGGTCAAATATACAAAGTATACTTTGAGTGGAAAGCTCTGCATATGTCATATTGACGCTAAAGGGTGCCATGTGCGTTGGTAGTAGACGCCAACGGACTTGACAAAAGCATAAGTATATGATGCCCTGGGAATGAGAACGAGTTGGCATTATCAAGGCACAACCCATGCAAAGTTGATAATTCTGCGAATATCTCCAATTGCAGATTTGAACAGAGATGGCAATAAAGAGTAAAAACGAAAAAAAAACGACGGATTGCAGCTTTAAGCTTTTAAGTTTAAGTTAAGCAGCTTTAAGTTTAGCAGCTCATTTGATTTATTCTATTTAACTTTTTACTCTTATTATCCTTGTTCACTTAGGTGCCAAATTCGGAGTCCCCACACCAGCCGTTTGTATAATGTGGGTCCACGGTCACAAACTCTCCAGTAGTGGGTCACTAAAAAGAGGTAAATGGCTTATATCTTAGACGTTTGCATTCACGCTTACTCAATCGAAGATATTTTATACAGCCTCCTTGGTTTTATACACTTGAATTAAAGTAACATTTTCTTTAGACAGAGGTCATGACCACTACTAGATATAAGCTGACCAATATTACTTCTCTGATGGTAGCTTTGGTTTGGTCATGCCATGGTTTCTCACGTACACTTGACTAAAGTAACAGTACATTAAAGGGGTGGTTTACTGTTTTTTTCTTTGCATGATTGTGTTTATGGGTTGCAATATAACACGTATTCGTGGTTTTTCTTTTTTTTAAAGTCTTATTTTTCATAAATTTCACCTTTATTGTAAGGTCTGCTCTGTCATTTGAACGACTGGTTGACTTCCTGATTCTATGAAACCACTCCCTCAAAAAAATGCCTCCCTCAGTAAAATGCGCTGCACAGAGAGCTATGATTGTAATTTTCAGGAACATAATCAAACAAATTGTATCCATCGTTGGCAAACTACGACGTCCACGGGAAGACCGAACACAGAAGACCTGATAGCTTGATGAACGTAACACACTCGATGAATCGCAGAAATGCCTTTTTTGGCATATTCCGGACCGGAGGGAGGGTTTGATGCAAATGTATGGGTTAGTGATGTCGAAAAACCCAGCTGTAGTCCCAATCGAGTTGTTTTTGTAGGCATTAAACTTCCTGATTTCTAAAAGACGATATCTCTTCTTACATTGAACTTTCAGCGCTGCAACTTTACAGATACTGTTCATGCACCAACAGCAACATTACACACTATTTAAAATAAAAAAAGTGAAATCGCAATCAACCCCCCCTTTGAACAGTGTATAGCCACCGCAGGAACTTTCCCCAGGAACTAGGAACTTTGGGGTGGTACTTGGTGTGTTTACACCGCAGGAACCAGGGTCTAAATGAAGTTCTGGGTAAAAATTTCCCCCCCAGAAAGTCCCTGCTGGCGAGGTATTACTTTTTCAGAGTTCGGGAACTTTCGGGGTGGGACTTGCTAAACATGCTGATTGGTTCTTACCACTTGTTCTTTCTACCCGATGGCATGCGTTCGTCCCATCAATCTCGCGGTCAATGTCCGCTTCTTAAATACACTTTGGATGCTCGTCTCTTTTCTGCCGTTTTGTTAATTACCTCGTTAGTAAACCAATCGCACACAAAAGCAGCACAGCTTGATTCTCCTCCATACAAAAGTCAAAACAAACTCGCAGACTGGGAGGAGCAGTTGCATGCAGTTCAACGTCACTACATAATCTTCCCGCCCCGTACAGGTACTTTAGTCCGTGGTGTAAACGCAGTAAGCATGCAAAAAAAGTTCCTATGAAAAAAGTTCCTGGGACAAATAGTTCCTGGTAATTGCGGTGGAAACGCGGTTTATGGGAGGCTGTGGCTACTGCACAAAAAGTTGATCATCAACATATCAAGAAACTGACAGCTTAAAACGGTTGGAGGCTTAAACTTTAACAGATTAAAATAAACAAGTCAGATGGGAAAATTTAAATTTTTCATTTTGCTGCATAATAATTCTGCTCACCAAGAGTTGCCCAATAATTGTGCACACATAGATATTCTCCTAAAAAGCCAACTTCACTTTTGCTTCCTTAAATATTCAGGATTGAGGTTTATTAACATTTTGGATGGACTGAGTGGAGTGTCGTTTTTCAATAATAAAAAGAATCCTCAAAAATACAACTTGCCTAATAATTTTGCACGCAGTGTACATAGGCCTACAATACAATAACATCAAATGCTCGAAGATTGAATAAAAGATGTACCTGACTCAGGAAATATATAATTAGCCCTGAATAATCTCATTACAAATTGCCCCGAGACACTTCTTTATATACTCAGATAGACCAAGAAACCTATATGCTAACAGTATGAATTTGCATTCACCACTGTCTCCAGTTTATACCTTTTTTGTAAACACCATTAGAGTGGGTGTGAATTAGGATTATACCGAGGTGAGACTTGCACCTTAAATGGTGATGATACTAATTTCACAAGAGAGAGTTCAAATGTTAATTTCCTTTGTTTTCTCAGAGAGTTGCCCTCTCTTCCAGTTATTCCAATCTTATAATGACATCACTCTACACTTCAACCTCTCTCTCATCAGATTTTCTTTCCTGTTTATTGCTCGGGCCCCCTATAAATACTCTCTGAAGCTGCAGCTCAAATCAGTCACTTGTTCACACAATTGCTATTTTCTACATGGTGAATGGGCCCTAGTACACTATAAAGGGGACGATTCAGACAGTGTAAATATCCTTTCCATTGGGATGAATGTAGTCTGCTCCGATCCAGAGACAAGATAGCACAGAGCGGATCGTATGTGTTGTACACATCAATAGAGAGCGAGAAGATTAAACACAATTTGCTGATGTTTCAACACTGCAAAATTTATGTGGAATGGAAATACCCTGCAAGTTCTCCACCTAGTGTTGATGAACCCACAATTACAATTACATACAAATTATTTACATTTTATAAACCTTACACATTCAACATAGTGTTAGCCTACTAGTGCTGTCAATGTTTCACAGATTTAGGGATTTATAAAATACATATTTGAATCTGTCACAAATGTGTGAGTTGACGCAGACCAGAAAACATAATATGAGCCATTTGAACACTGAATGCTTTATTTTAAACTAGTGATATGAAGCCAGGAAAAACACATCTGAATTTAATTCATTATTAATTCATTATTCAACACACTGAATAATGCTGCGTGTTTAATGCATAGACTGGTTTCATGGCCCTTTAGTGGGAAAATATGCCTGTAATATTTGTTTGCATGGTTGTATTACATTTTTATTATAAACATTATACAATCACAACTGAAATTAAAAGCAGCTAGTAGTCGTCAAATGAAATTTCTTTGACTGTTTTTTTTTTTTTTTTTGTGAGCCTCAAGCTTCTTTTTTATCTCGGATATTTTAATGAACCTGTTCACAAAAAAACAGTCTTAATAAGTATGAAAACAAAGTATCAAAATGAACTGTTGAATGTGTGAAGTGCTCAATTCATTCACTCGCTCGCGCCCGCCCACCGCTAGTTGTGCGCATCTCCCACAATGCACCGCTGCACTTAGAAAGGGAAGTGCTTTCGCGGTAGAGTCAGCTAGTCGACCCAGCTAGTTCAACCAGCTAGTGATCCTGCTCTAGCAACTTTTTCCGCTATTTAGTTTTTTTTTTTAAAACACAAGCGACCCACCGTGCATCACACAGGAGTTGTATATTGGCTGTGTCGCGAGAGGGATTGTTGAAAGAATACGTCGAGCGCTCTAAAGTGAGTATTTTAACTGTTCGGAAAGGTGGCCCGCGTGTTGTTTATCGTCTGTGCAGAGATTCGCTGCAGAAACATGCATGCCCTGCAGTATTTTACCTTTATACGCTCCGTTCGGGCTGCGACTTTCTTTGAATGCATATTTTAAAGACATGTGACGGAGTATTTAATTTTTGCGTTCCCATCGAATAGTGAGCTAAGGACAAAAGAACGGCGCTTTATCATAAAAAGGGAATTAATGCAATTTTGAAGAAATTGATCATGTATGGTGATCAGCCAGCATTGGTATTAGCTAAAGGTGCTTGTTTATAATCCTGAGACTCCATGTTATGTGCAGCTGTGGACTAAAATCCATTGTGTAGGCTGATGTTTTGAAATATTTGAATTATATAAAATACTGCAGAAACGTTGATATTTTCATCCGTAAAACTGTGGATATATAAGGATATATCTATTATTTGTTGTTGTTTTGCCACACATGGGATAAGTTATTTGCAACAATGTTTGCGTGGTAATTAATTGTATTATTTTGAATAAAATAGAATGATAGAATTATGCACAATTTATTTATGATACAATGTGTTATTCATTTATAAATATGTATTTCCCCCCAGGCAAATTTGTTTGAAAAATAAACCATTAAATGACACTTTCTGGAGAGTTTTGTGCAAAGAAATTGAGTCTTAAATGATATGTGAAAAACTGCAAAGTTAAAGGTGCCATATGGAATAATTGAGGTAAAAATATCCAAAAAATGAGCTACACACATCAAAAGAATGAGAAGAAATAAGTGCAATGATGTCATTAAAAAACTGACAAGTTATAGTGCTGCCGAGATATAACCTAAATTAGCATGCTAAATTACTACGTAATACCAGTTTCGGCCATGGGCTTTTCTGTGCATGACAAAATAGATGTGGCGTGAGAGTGTGTGAAAAGTTGTGTGTCTCACGGTGAATTTGTGAGTTGGCAGCTCTGAAAGGCGCTAGCTTGGTCCACATCAGGGAATGCTGTCTGTCAAATTAATTCAAACTAATGAAAAAAATGTAACATGAACAAAACGAATACCATAAACTAAAAATGCCTGGGCTTTAATTTTCCCATATCGTCGAAATGCGATATTTCTATGAGACAGCCTTTATAATTTAGTATTGAGATGTTGTTCATTTAGTCTCTAATCTCTGAAAATCTCCAAATGATCCATGTGAAACTGCGGTCTTGCAACCTTTTACTATCGTGTCAATTGATTTGATTAATATGCGCGAGGAAGACATGCAACACAGCGCTCGCCCGTGTTGTTTGAAGACATGAGTGCGCATTTTTGAGGTATTTTTCTGGAGGTATACTGCCCCCATCTGGTATGGAATATGGTGTATGATTTGATTTTTTTTATCCCAGAGGGCACCTTTAAGAGAATATAGGCTACTTTGCATTGTTGTAGTATCAACATGTATGGGGTATTTTGCATTTACATTACTGTTATCAGTCATGTACTGATTAACTCAAATAAATGGTTGATTTGATTTCTATTAGCTATAAAATACTAAAAAATAAAATCAATCTATCCCTTGTGGAAAGGTTGCTTGGTAGCTAAAAGTAGGTCTAGCAAGTCTTATTTCATGTAATTCACACAGATCAAACACATCTATGCTGAAAGAATAGATTGCTAGTTTATTTTGAGTTGCCAGCTAGCAGGAGTTCTCTTGGAAGTTTGCTGATAATCCGGTGTCTGAAGTAAAATGCTCAAAACATCTCCTGAGAAAAATACCAAGTCTTGGTTATTAAATTTTGGGTTAGTCTTATTTTCCTTACCTTGCCATTCAAGGCCAGGGCACTTTTTGTACTTTTCTTGAACTTTTTGTGCGCTTCCACATTCCGTGTAACTACGGATCTCCCAGTAACATATTGATGCGTACATTTATCTGTGTCATCTAGATGCGCATATACGAGCGGTGCGGGATCATGGTCGACTGACGACATAAGCAGCTGAAGAATAAAGCCATTTTTAAAAATTGAATTATGTATTTAAAAGTTGCAAAACAAAATCTTACACTGGGAAAAACTTGGGGGGACAAAACTCAAGACATGTCCCGCGTATAATGGTTCCTACGCCCCTGGGTTTGCCAAGTAAAGTGTAAATTCTCAGTGTTACCATCCCCTTTCAACAGTACTGTCCCCTTTTTTTCCCGCAGCGTTGGTTCCAGGAGTATTTTTTTTTTTCCATGGCGATTAAATTAAAAACTTCGTTAAAGAGTTTAAAGCCATGAACCAAGCAATGAGGTGAATCATAATATTACAAACTTTGATTTTGAAGCAAAGAAGGTTGAAATGAAAAATGAAAATCAGACAAAATTTTGTTTACTTAACGGCTTTAGTGACGGAACAAGCTTTACGGTGATAATAGGAAATTAAAGTAACAAAGATTGTTTTGTTTTACAGCAGCTCTAGACTAAAGTTATTTCTTCTATTACAATCCCATGAAGCATTGCGAAAAGCTTAATCGAAGGGTTAGTGCATCTAAAAACGAAATTTCTGTCATTAATTACTCACCCTCATGTTGTTTCAAACCTGTAAGACATTCGTTTATTTTTGGAACTCAAATTAAGCTAATTTTGATAATCTGAGAGATTTCTGCCCACAATGTACACTCATCATACTAGGTGTAATTGTAAACAGGGCCTCCAGTTTTGTTTTCTGCCACTTTAGTAGAATGGCGGTAAAAAACACTGAAAGTGATTTCAACGATAACGTTTCTCCGTGTCGTTATAGTTGTGGTGAGGACTCTGCTATTCTTTTTAATTTAGAATGATTTGTAAAACTTTATTGGTGTTAGTCTGGGCCTTTAATAATGTAATAATTTCCCACATTTAGGAGCGAAGTCTGGCCCCTCACCTTCTACAGAGGCAGTTTCACACCTGGACTCTACGTCTGCATTGGGTGTCCTTATGGCCAGTGAGGATTTCTCAGGACATCTCACTGGAGATGCAGCTGTTGTAGAAGAGAAGCTTGATTCAGTGGAGCCATTCAAGCTGGATGCCACTGAAGCAGGTGTGGATGAGCCAAACCCTCAAAGCAGCCTGATGGAGCAGGAGGAAGAAGAGGAGATGGAGAAAGATCTGGATTTAAAACCTGATATGGACCAAGAAAACAGTCCAGAAAAGGATAGTCCAACCAACCAGGATGAAGAAGAAAATTGTGTACAGGGACATTGTGAACAGAAGGATGCTACAGAACTGATGAAGAACGAAGACAAGAACAATGCAGAGAACATGGCACAGTTATCACATGAGCTTGTGATTGCTAAAGTTGAGGACTTCACGAATGAAATGGCAATAGATGTGGACCAGACTGAGGATCGGGATGGGAAGATGGAGGTTGATAGACCAGAAGATGCAGGTTGGTGTGATCTTGATGCTTTACCGTTTGTTGAGATGAGTTGCTAACCTTTTATTTATATTGATTGATATGTTACACATTTTTTATTTAACAGGAAAATTGTTGGCTAAACCAATAAAAAGTGAGAGAACTGAACCTTCTGCCACGGTAAGCAAAATTATTATGTTTACCATTGAATTTCATTTGATAATCCTTGGAGAAGTACATTCCTTACACTAAAACACTCTTCATCTAAATCCAGCCAACACATTCAGTGGTAAACACTGAGTTGAAACCCCAAGTGGCCCATCCCTCCACTGCATTACCAGTGAAGGTGAAGGATGAGCCAATGGATGAGGAGTACGAGAAAGCGTCGACACATCTGCAGCCAGTGGGAAACATTAAAGATGAACCCGACAGCGCAGCTGTGAGTTTCACCTGTGATTTACGTCTTTTATTTTTTTGTAAAGGGGTAACAAAGGTTGAGCAATATTCTAAATCATGACATGCCTATATATAGTGGTGTAACATTTATAGAACAGTAATTGCCCACATAAACCCACCCTGTATTCAATTCACATATATACATAATGTACATTATCTATATATATGTATATTAGCGCTGTCAAACGATTAAAATATTTAATCGCATTAATGTCATAGTTAACTCGTGATTAATCACATATTTTTATCTATTCTAAATGTCTCTTGATTTCATTTTGTCCCATTATTTGTTTTCCTCATTTTAATGCTCTTATCAACATGGTAAAATGGATCGGCTTGCTTTGTGCAAATGTTTTTTATTGACAAAAACATTGGCATATACTGTGTTCAAATTCACAATAAAAAATTCTCACTTGGAGCAAAATAATCTACCACACAATGTAACACTGTCCATCAATAAAAGGGTGAAAGAAATACTGACGAGGTCCTGATATTGACAAGGGGGTGGAGAATTCGCATCTGCTGTGTGTGTGTCTGTGTGCTTGGCCATCATCAAGCGGTATCTCAAAATAGACGTGCTGCGATGATGATAGCTTAGTTCATAACGACAAAACACACAGATCACTTTGGTCTTGTCAATGGAACCATTTGTCAACTTTTTAAAAGTAAACTTTCCATTCAGAATCTTATTGGCATCCATTTCGGCGTTTCACGCTCGTCATCCACTCAAAACGTAACGTTAACCTACTGTTTGGCCGGCTCGCAAGCCCAAATGAGTGTGTGCCTGTTATTTTGTTTCTGGTCTAGCTAGATCCGCTTACGCATTGGTCGACGAAGCAACAAAACGTCCTCCTCGTGCGGCGCAAGCGATTGAAATGAATGGGTTTCATTGTGCAGCGCACGCATGCCGCGTCCTGTTGCAAAAGCATGTGAAAAAACTACAAAGTTTGCTAGGCCAAAAAGACTGTTAATCGCGCGATAAAAAAAATTAACGCCGGAAAAATGGGTTTGCTTTAACGCCGTTAATAACATGTTAAACTGGCAGCCCTTATATATATATATATATATATATATATATATATATATATTAGGTAATATATATATATATATATATATATATATATACATTTATAATATATATACATATATATATTAGGGCTGCCAGTTTAACATGTTATTAACGGCGTTAAAGCAAACCCATTTTTACGGCGTTAATTTTTTTTATCGCGCGATTAACAGTATTTTTGTCCTAGCAAACTTTGTAGTTTTTTCACATGCTTTTGCAATCCATTTTTTATCCATTTCGGTGTCTCGCGCTCGTTATCCACTCAAAGCCGGCTCGCAAGCCCAAACGTGTGTTTGCGGCGTGCCTGTTGTTTTGTTTACGGTCTAGATCAGCTTGCGCTTTGGTCGAAAAAGCAAAACAAAACGTCCTCGCGCGGTGCAAGCCATTGAAATGAAAGGGTTTCAGAGCGCAGCGCGAGGACGTTTTGTGCCGCACACACTCGTTTCGGCTTGCGAGCCGGCCAAATAGTAACATTACTTTTGAGTGGATGACGAGCGCGAGACGCCGAAATGGATGCCCTAAAATTCTGAATGGAAAGTTTACTTTTAAAAAGTTGCCATATTGCCCCATTGACAAGACCAAGTGATCTGTGTTTTGTCGTTGTGAACTGAGCGATCATCATCGCAGCACATCCAGTCTGAAACACCACTTGAAACACCACGTCTCCGCCCCCTCGACAATGTTAGGGCCTCGTCAGTATTTCTTTCACCCTTTTATTGATGCAGTCTTACATTGTGTGAGAGATTATTTATAGGCTATATATTCCAATGTTATTTTCAATAATAATTTTTCCACTTTTCCATGTTGATAAGAGCATTAAAATGAGAAAAAAATTATGTAACAAAAAGAAATCAAGAGACATTTAGAATAGATAAAAATGTGCGATTAAACGCGGGTTAACTATGACATTAATGCGATTGATCGCGATTAAATATTTTAATCGTTTGACAGCACTATATATATATGTATGTATGTGAATTGATAACAGGGTGGGTTTATGTGGACAATTACTGTTCTATAAATGTTACACCTATATATAGGCATGTCTTGATTTAGTCTTTAGCACATAATTGTAATATGAATAATTGTGATTAATAATTTAATTGAATTTAATTGGGGGGAAAAGGCTAAATACAGTCTCTTATGCTCACCATGGCTGCATTTATTTGATACAGTAAAAACAGTAATGTTGTGAAATGTTACAATTTAAAATAGTTTTTCATACTTAAACATTTTAAAATGTAATTCCTCTGATCAAAGCTGAATTATTCAGCATCATTACTTCAGTCTCCATATATCAGTGTCACATGATCCTTCAGAAATCATTCTAATATGTTGATTTGCTGCTATTGTAATCTGATATTGTTTTAATCACTAATGTTGAAAACAGTTTGTGCTGCTTAATATTTTTGTGATAATAGTGCTGCATTTTATTTCAAGAGGCGATGAAAATATGCATTTGTTTTGAACACCATTGTGTTCTTGCTTTCAGGATTCTAACCAGACACCTGATGCGATCAAAATCAGCGCAGTGTTCTCTGTAGGAGGTAATGCCACAACTCTAAAAATATGTTATGATATTTTGCTACCTGGGTGAATAGTGAAAGTTGCATACTATATTTCTTACTTATTCCTCTTCATGTGACTGCAGCTCCAACAGTCGACCCAGCAAAGGCAACAATAGGTCCTACACTATCCCTTCGTCCTCTGGCCCCAGCCAATCCAGTTGGTGTGGTCTGCACAGGATGTCACAAAGTCCTGCTAAAGGGACAGACGGCGTTCCAGCGCAAAGGCTGTCCTAAACTCTACTGCTCACCTCAGTGTCTCTGCAGCACCTCCACCATGGTGGTCAAGATACCTCAGAAGAAGCAATGTTACCACTGCCTCAAGTATGCATACATTAAAACCTTTAGATTTACATTTTTAAATTTGCATTACATTTGATGTTTATGCTTTTGCATTTAAAAATGACTTCCAAAGCATTCAAATACTTTGTTTTTTAATATGAACTAGGCCTGTCTTAAGTGGCATTTTTGTTGACATTTACTCAAGCCCCGTCCACACTATTGCATTTTTCATTAGAGCTTTTGCTACGTTTGCACCTCTCGTCCAGACTAAAACGGAAAAAACGAAGACCTACAATGGAGAAGTTTAGAAACGCTGCATCTCCGTTTTGCATTTTGAGTCTCCGGAGGGCGTTTTAGTGTAGACGGAACAAAACAGGAGTTTAGAAACGATGACGCAGAGGCTCACGCTCTGCTCTATGATTGGGTGTCATCAGTCATGACGTGTCCTTCCCTGATTCGTCAGCCACTGTTTACACCGGCACGCACATGCCCAGTGTTGGTGAATGGTCACGTGATCCGCGTTTCAGTCGTTTTAATATGGACGGAGATCAATTCTAATACTCAGATAAAACGCTGGTGTGGATGGAGATTGTATTTGTTTTAATTCTCAGTTTTTAAACCAAACGCAGTAGTGTGGACGGGGCCTCACCCTCATATCATTCTAAATCCATACGACATTTGTTCGTCTTCGAAACGCAAAGGAAGATATTTTTAATGAAATCTGAATTTGTGCATCAAAACATTCATAACGAGATTATGAATTTAAATCGTGTATGAATTGAGCATTTTAATCCAAGTCTTGATTGCTTTAATTAGTGAACATACATGGAGCATTTAAATTTGGTCATGAAGGCTCAACTACGCAAACCAAGTTTTTTTTTTTCTCGCGCTTCAAGCAGGTATGGTTGAGCTTCTATTTATGTTTGCTGATCTAACGAAGTCTAAATTAAATGTGTTCATAATAGAAAGTATCGTGTCTTCAGAACACTTGGATTAAACAGCATGTTTTTTATGATCTCTATGAACGTTTTGAAGCATCAGAGTTTTGTGAAAATAGACTTTTAATCGAGGGAACAAAATCTCTTAATCTTACGGGTTCAGAAATACAAAAGGTTGAGTAAATGGCAGAATTTTATTTTTGAGTGAGCTTTTTGAATACTTTAATTTTATTAAAACATGCTGTTTTATTTTAAAAGGTTAAACTGTAATATAACAATATAGCATATAAAACTTTGTACCATTTCTGTTTCTGTGCAGAGACATTCTTGACCCAAAAGATGTAGTCAATGCCCCGGTGGACATGTCAGGGACTATGAAGGAGTTTTGCAGTCAGAAATGCCTTAGCGCTTTAAAGTTCAAGTGCAGTGTGTGTCAGAAGTCAGGAATGGTGAGTGTCCATCTCTATATGTTCAACTGCACTGCAGCCCTGACTCTTCGGCACGCAACATTAATCATGTTTTTGACCCCTAAGGACCTGTTCACACCAAGACAAATGTTCAATATGATAAATATTTTAATTTGGATGAACAGCTGTTATTGTGTGTGTTCAGCCACAAGCGTTTACATGCTTTTAGCGTTACATTTCTTTATGGAGGTGATCTAATCCCTTTTCAGTCACACAATTGCGCTTTTGGCCACATGCCAGAGCCTGCTGATGTTGCATAAAATTGATTTGGAGGCGCTCGCAAACAATTTTGCCAAGTGATGGTAAATGGCAAGAGGAAGAATCTGGAACTGGCTCTCTCACCACAGCGAATGCAAAAATCTCATTGGCTCTTTGAATGTACATTTTGGTATTACTTTCTTTGTGGTAAGTAGGAAATAGAAAGTTGCGCTGTGCTTTTGGTACCTGGCTAACCAGGTTTACCATTTTCTATTTTGGGGTAACCGTTTCTGCTGCTCTAAAAGTGCCACTTACTATCAGAATAATTTTAGGTTGCGCTAAAACATTCTCTCCCTAAAAAGTCCCACAATGCACCCTGGAAACCAGACGAAATCAAAAGACGCCCTACATTTTTTTTTCTTCTAATTTCAGAAGCTGTTTCCCTCGGATATATACGTCACAACAAGGAAAAAATGACAATCTCAACTTCCGTTTCATGCTAAAAAATTAGCATGTTGCATTCTAAAAATTAAACTTAAATCGCATGAGCCAACTCAACACACATGAAGACACAATACAGGTTTTAAAAAACAAACCATAATTTTATTATATTTCAGAAAGATGTGCTGCTGTTGATTAATACCAGTGGTGAAATTCAACCAATGTCTGAACTGATTTAATTTTGACATTTAACGTTGTGTTGGTGTGAACAGGCCTTTAATTCAGATGATATGAGATAAAAGTACTGTGAAATAATGTCAAGACAAAAGCTTTGTTGCACTCTCTTTTCTTTTCACACAAAAAGACTGAGCAACAGGTATTTTCAGTCCTTTTTAAAGTTAAGCAAGCACTGTGTAGTGTGCTTTAATGCCCTGAGGTTCTAGTGTCGTCTTTTTTCTGTTATAATGATGGCAACAATTTAAAATACTCTATTTCTGGTTAAACAGAAAGTGTCTGCTTTCATATGTCCACTCACAACAACAAAAAGTGCTCTGGTAAAATACAGAAAAGATTCAGAAGGTGCTTTCTGCTGTTTAGGTCTCTGATCTTTGAAAATCTGCATATAAGTGCTGCACTGACATGAGAGACACTGACATTTTTGTCTCTACAAAATCGAAAGAATCGAAAAACAAATATCCTCTGATTATGTAATGCAAATGAAATTGACACTTAGCAGTCTGAAAAAGTTGCCTTGTGTATTTACTCATGTAATTTTAATTTAGATGTCTTATTTAAATTTATATTATCTATTTTTATTTATTCAATTTAGTAGTGTAACATTTTAAAGGCAAGTTAGGCAAGTCAAGCATTTTTTTTTTATAGATGATTGATATACTTCAATAAATGTGGCAAATATGCATTCATATTTTTATTCATACATGCTTTTCATAGTAAAGTGGCCCATTATGCTATTTTAAAGGTTCCTAATTTTGGTTTGGAGGTCTCCTACAACACGTTTGCATGCATCAACTGTCAAAAACGTTCATTTTCTCATTATTGGTCATTCAGTGTTACTGCAAAGATTGATTTTTAATTGTAATTTAAAAAATCTTCTAAAACGTAAACCATTTTCATCTATTAATCTATGTAGGTTGAATAATGTCTGTCGCTCTGGGGTCTGATTGGCTGCTGGGTTCAAGAATATTAATCACGTTTGTCTGCGTTCGCCCAAGCTGATTGGCTTGGACCGTGATAGGTGGGCCAATGGGATTGCCGATTGTTCATTCTCCATCTCCCGAAGGATTCGAATGGCTAAAATAAGCCAAGTTAGTCATTTTGACAAGAAAAAATAATATTAATGAATATCGTTTGCATATAGCGTGTCAGTTCTACTACTGTTTTCCACCCTCGCCTCGCGCTCTCTGTGTGTGTGTTGCCGCTGTCAGCGATGCACTGGTGAGTGCGGCGTCAACAAAAGTGTGTGCATTAAAACGCAGCGTTCTGCATTCCACCTACGATTTATTCCTGCAATATTTAAGATTTTTGCGAACATTTTACTCTTATTGAATACGTCAACTTAGATGCGAAACGTTACCTTTTATCTGCCTGATCTATTTATCGCATTCTATGTGCTCCCACTCGGTTATGACCCGGGCGAGCCATACAAATATGGTAAAAGCTCCCCCATCAATGTGATAAAAATAGCATAGCTTCATTCAATTCATTCACTTTTCATCGCTTTTGGAAGATGGCACACTGCACGTGTGAGGAACCTGTCGTGGTCCTGGACAGTGAGGAAGAGCTCACCTATTCCTCAGATGAAGAGCACGAGTCTGATGATGAATGGTTGCATTTTGAAGAGCGAATTGATCCAGAAGAGGATTACAGTTCTGATGAGTAAGTCTATTCTCTCTTTAGGTATCATCTTATGGTTGCACTTTTTATTTTACAGTACGTGCACTTTCAGTTTACTTATCAAGAAAGTACTAGGGGTAGGTTTCTATTTATTACCCTATTATTGTAATATCTACAATATACAGTATGTAGCCTACATGGACTGTAAAATAAATTGCTACCCATGTTATTTTTAGAGAAGCATGTACATATTTTACTTTGCATGATTTGTTATATTTTGAGTAAAATATGTTGCCCTTGACTTCTAAAACAAGCATGTACTACATACAGTACCATTCAAAGGTTTGGGGTCACCAAGATGTGTTTTTCGAAAGAAATAAACACTGTTATTCAGCAAGAACACATTAAATACATCAAATGTGTCAGTAAAGACATTTTATAATGTTACTAAATATTTCTGTTTCAAATAAATTTTGTTAAGAAAAACACATTTTCCATAACAATGTTTTAACCGTTTTCAACTGTTAGAATACTAATAAATGATTCTTTAGCAGCAAATCGACATTTTAGCATGATTTTTGAAGGATCATGCGTCATTAAAGACTAATGCTGAAAATTCAACTTTGCATCACAGGAATACATTTGTTATATTACTTTAGAACAGTAATTTTAATATTTCACAATAATCTGATATAAATATTAATCTAATAAATGCAGCCTCAGTAAGCTACACAAACAAAAAAACATTAAACATATAACCCAACGTTATCGCAAACCTTTTGAATGACATTGTGTATTAAAATAAATATATGATATATTATTTATACTATATTTAATGTAAAATACCTTATCAGTAGGGTTGGGTATCATTTGAATTTGAACGATTCTGATTCCTTGTTTCGATTTCGATTCCTAACGATTCTCTATTCCGATTCTTTTAAGAGGCAGGGTCAAAAAAGTTTAGCTAACCTTGCTAACCAACGGCCTTTCTGAAGGAAATACTCCTTCTGTAAAAATACTCCTTTTGTCACAAATTTTGCATTTTGCCGAGATTTCGTTATTTTTAGAAAAGCGAAGCCACACTTTGGATCGCCGACGTAAGCTACTCATGTTCGACTCGCGTGGTTATGCCAACACTTCCGGTAGATGCTTCTTCGTTGGTGTTGTTCAGCGGTTTCTTCTTCCGCTCGGCGGACTGTGAATATCGAAACTAGGAATCGAAATTTTAACTTTTGAACGATTCCGGGAAAAACGAAAAGTTAGTCTCGGTTCCAATCGATACTCGATTCTCGATACCCAACCCTACTTATCAGTAAAGCTTGTTCACAAATGTCTGATTCGGTGTAAATGTTTGTAATGTGCTATAAATGTATGCATGTGTTTTTCAGTATTGTGGATCAATAATGTTAAATAATGTAGTTGCTTTGATACAATTATTAGCATGCTCACAGTTTTTTGGGTTTTTTTTTTGCAGGTATGACAATGATAGTGACCTGATGCCGGTTGCAAAGAAAGCCAAGACGGTCAGGCTGCCGAATCAGACATGGAAAACAGAGAAAGAAGTCGACTTGGTTCCACATATTCTGAGATTCTTGCCCTCACGGGAACCTGGACCTCAGCTGCGTATGAGTGACTCGTACTCCCCTCTTAGTCTCTTCAAATTGTTTTTCTCTGAAAGCGCCGTTTCAACCTTGTGCTACAACACTAACGCTCAGGCCGCGAGGTCACTTGCGAGGGGGCGCAAATACAAGTGGACTGATGTCGACGTTTGCGAGATGTACCGCTACTTTGGGCTGGTATTCTACATGGGCATGGTGAAGCTGAGCTCCATCAGTGACTACTGGCGGCAGGGCAGTCTTTTCTCTGTGCCTTTTCCCTCCACAGTTATGTCAAGGGACAGATACCGCACTATATCGTGGAACATGCACATGAGTCACCCAGCCGGAGACAAAGAAAATGACAGAAAGAAGGGCACAGATGGGTATGACCGCCTTTTCAGGGTCAAACCCCTCATAGACACAATCCGTCTTGCATGCAAAAACACCTATCATCCTAGAAAAGATTTAGCCGTGGACGAAAGAATGGTGGCATGCAAAGCGAACATGGGACTGACACAGCAAACGAAAACCAAGCCAACCAAGTGGGGCTTCAAGCTGTTTGTCCTCGCCGATACATCAAATGGATACACTGTGGACTTTTCCGTGTACACTGGAAAGAATACCAATGCCACTGGCCATGGACTACCATATGATACAGTTATGTCTCTTGTGGACAAAAAACATTTTGGATCTGGGTACCATGTGTACATGGATAACTTCTACACGAGTCCGAAGCTCTTAAAAGACCTGCTAGACTTGAAGATTGGTGCCTGTGGGACCTACAGAGACTGCCCACAGAATGCAGATAACTCGCTGACCAAAAAGTCCACCAGGGGATCAATTAGGTGGATTCGGGATGGTCCACTTGTGTACGTGAAGTGGATGGACACACGAGAGGTGTCTGTCTGTTCCACTATCCATCCTGCCTACACCGGAGACACCGTGCAGAGGAGGGTGAAAGAATCGAAAGGATGGGGCTTAAAGACTTTTCCCTGTCCCGCACCCATCATTGCGTACAACCAACACATGGGGGGCGTTGACCTGTCCGATCAACTCTTGCAATACTACACCACACAGCACAAAACCCTGAAGTGGTACAGAAAAATCTTTCTGCACTTATTGGACATTGCCGCCACCAACTCCTTTACGTTGCACAAAGAGCTATACGGCAACTTGACCCAAAAAGGGTTTATGGAGCAACTCATCGCAGAGCTCTGTGATATGTCCCTGAAAACACCACGAAAACAGAGCTCGACTGACCATGTGCCTGTTCCAGGAGCTCAGCTGAGCTCAGATGCCAGGAAAATCGCCTCTGCTGGACGTCGGATCTGTGTGCACTGCAAAGCGGCGCATGGCAAGAAGCAGCAAACCCCGTGGAAGTGTCAGGCATGTGACGTGCACTTGTGTCTTCAGTTGACCAGGAACTGTTTCCAAGAATGGCACAAAACTCTGTGACTGTGTGTGCTCAAATGTGCTTGGGACCTTCTGTCTGTTTATCTTTATGTCTGTCTCTGTATGATATTGTACACTTGTAAATAAACTGCAAACAAAGTAAATTATTCTATCTTTTAGTCTTCGCATAATTTATTTTGGTTTCCTTACTGTGGCATCCCCAGATCTGAATATTTCCCCAAATGTGAAACACGTCAAAGGTGTTGTTTTATTTGAGTGAATAAGATAGTTTTCACAACTTATTGTTACAAACTCTGATCTACAAAATCCAGTTGCCAAAGTCTTTTATGGCCTAATATCTGCCTATTTATATACATAATTTAGAAATATATGTAGTTTTTTTATTATTGATCAGTGTGCTAAGTTCTGAGTCTTGTTTTTGCTTTGTCGTCAAACTTTATGGAGCTGGTTGTGGGTGGATGGGGTGAGGGTGGGGTGTATTTTAAAGCCATTCAGCATAAGGCAGCAACATAAAATATGGGGTGTTTGTATTTGTTCGAAAATCAACCTTTCTTTGCACTGTACATATTGCTCAATGTAGGACAGCAACTTCTGTTTAGTCTACTTTAGGTTCAGGAAAAGCAAATCTTTATCATAACTGACTGGCTGTTTGATACATTTGCATTTTGTTACTTTATATTTGTCTTGAAAAAACAAAGTATGTCATAGTGGGGGTTTTTTTTCTGCCTGTGACAATTATGTAACCGTTTCTGTGGCTGCCTTATAAGATCCATATAAAAATAAAGTTCAGTAGTTTTAAAAGTTTGCTGTTGCAATTGCATTTCTCATAGACGTACACTCATGAAGTGAACTTCAAGGGCTCCATCCAAAAACTGTGCAGCGACAGCTGCTTTAACCAGTTCCGCATCTCCAATAAGCTGATCATGAACAGCTGTGTGAACTGTGGTGGATACTGCTATGGCACAGACAGTCAGTGTCTGTCTCTGCGGATAGAGGAAAAAGTTTTGAAGTTCTGCAAACAAAACTGCCTCCTAGCCTTCAAAAAGGTAACGGCAAAGGAATACCTAAATATGTGTTGGTTATGTTGTTGAAAGTCATTAAATAATTTGATCTTCCTTTTGTAGAGGAGTCTGAAGCCTGTCTCCTGCAAAAATTGTCGTACCATGCGCCCGGTTGCAGAAATGGTGTACAGTCCGAGCGCAGAGGGAGTCCGAGAGCTTTTCTGCTCCACTTCCTGTGTTACAGCAAATAAAGTTCAGACTGTCAGTTCTTCAGGTAACACAACCACATATTCACATTATTAGAGGTCTTCTCTTTTGGAAGTATAGACCTTATTCAGAGCAGCGCCATGACGGGCTGTGAGGGATAAACTTACCGTGTTTCCAATGGCGTCCGCTGTAAAAAGCTGAATAAAACTCCTAGATAACTTGCAATTTTCCACAGCTTACATTGTCGGGAGTTTTTTTTGTCAACTGAAATTTCTTGGAAAGATATTTTTCCAGTGTTTCATGAGCAGAACAATCTGAAAACACATTAAATAACAGTACAGCCCATTGAAGAGATGCAAGTCTATCCCTCACAGCCTCGCTTTCATTCTCATTAAAAATCAAAGATGGCGCTGCCGTGAATAAGGCGTATACTCAGATGTCCTTTTTGTTTGCTTTCAAATAAGGCGCTCCAGTGGAATGCAACAGCTGCAAGATGAATCTAACTCCTCAGTATCATCTAGCCATGTCTGACGGAACCATCCAGAACTTCTGCTCCTTTTCCTGCGTAGTATCATATCAGGTAGGGTTTAGTGCTTTTGCAGATCACTCTTTCATGATGTGTTAATCATAGAAGCAGAGATATTTGAATGTTTCACTTTCTGATTTTGATCAGGACTCCTTCAGTAAGACAAAACCAAACAACCAGGTAAACTCCATAACCTCCACCACAAATACCACATCTACCCCAAAACCTGCTGCTCCCAAACCTGCTTCATCAGAGTCTAGCTCCTCAACGACTAGCGCTCCCAGTGGTCCGGTGCAGACAGTCACCAAGATCCCCTGCTCTCAGTGTCTGAACTCATTCTTCCACAGACCAGAACTGCTGGAGTTCAAGGTACTCCTGTTCACTATTGTAGACTGCAACTAATAAACCAAATATTTCACATAATTGGAGTTCATGATTTTACAGGTGTAATGAATTCTTGGAATGGCATGCAACAATTTGCACAGATTTTTTTTCAAGATATACCGATAATTATTATTTCGATGTCAATAACTGATATACTGGCCATTTATCAGGTCACAATCTAAAGTCTCATTTATTGGCTGAATCTGATATGAGTGCTGACATATCATGCATTCCTATTTGCATTGTAAAGTGTATAATTAAAGGGATAGTTCACTTTGAAATTAATTTTTGGTATGTTTCAGCTTTCCTCAAGGGCATCCAAGATGTACAGTAGGTGTCTTTGTTTCCACAGTATTTTCAATTTTGATATTTTTAGGTCAAACCGTTCGTGTCTATCAGTCATATAATGGAGGTCTATGGTCACCACCTCAAAGAGCATGCACAGAGAGGTCCAAATTAAATATGATTTAATGACCCATAAATGTAAGTACACATTGATGGCATAAGACACAAAATGAGTTGTTTGTGTGAGAAAATGAACAGTATTTATATCGTTTTTACCTCTTGTAACCACAGCCACAAAGTGCCCGCGCCCCGCGCCCTCAGACCACTTGGACGTGGCTGTGATTACAAAAGATAAAAATGATATAAATACTGTTCGTTTTCTCACACCAACCGCTCCTTCCGTGTCTTAGGCCATCAATGTGTACTTACATTTACGAGTCATTAAATCATGTTTAATTTGGACTTCTCTGTGCATGCTCTTTGAGGTGGTGACCATAGACCTCCATTATGAGACTGGTTTGACCTAAAAATATCAGAATTGAAAATACTGCAGAAACAAAGAAACCTACATCTTGAATGCCCTTGAGGTAAGCTAAAAAATACAAAAAATTAATATCAAAGTGAACTATCCATTTAACAATCTGATCAGTAGTTTGTTTTTCTGTATAATTGCTACTCGACAGTGACCATAGACCTAATTGGTTGCATGCTTTCCTGACCTTTCAGAGGAAAATGTACGCTTTCTGCAGTACCACTTGTGTTGAGGAGTTCAAACAGATCAACAACGTCATGGCTCGCTGTGAGTACTGCAAGATCGATAAAGTTGTTAAGGAGGTGAAAAGGATAAACAAGATTGACCGCTGTTTCTGCAGTGAGGGTATGTGCCAAGAGCAAAACTAAGATATTATTTGCATACCATTTGTTTTCTTTTTGTTCGTTTATGCATGTCGTAATAATAAGTTGTGTAATCTAATGTGACAATTAATTTTTCGTACATCTCACCACAGGATGCAAGTTACTTTATAAGCATGACCTGGTCAAGCGCTGGGGGAAGAAACACTGTCGCAACTGCTTCTACTGTAGTGGCTCCTCTCAGACTGTAGTCACTGAAATTGTTGATAAAGTAGAGGTGGAGTTCTGTGGGAGTGTGTGCTTACAACAACATAACTTATTAATGCGTAAGGTAATATTTGAGGTCTTTTATTATTATTATTATTGAGAACTGCAACATTACACTTAAGACATTATGCCATGGTTGTGGCTTTCAACTAACAGCGAGTACATTTCTGACAGGAAATAAAGTGTTCCATGTGCAGGCAGGCCAAGATGATGAGAGAGACCGTGAAATGGCTGGGTGAGATTAAGCATTTCTGTAGCTTGCAATGCTTGATGTTCTTTTGCAGTCTGCAGGGCATCACTGGGCCTGTCAGACCTGGAAGCAAACCTCTGACCACACAAGGTATGTCTACCTGTAGATATTTGTGGATTTTTTTTTATCTTATTCTTGATGTTTGTATCTTATTTTTTGATGTTTGGTTTCCTCAGGGACAAGCCCAGTGCCGTCTCCAGCCCCTCTAGCTACAGTTAATCGCACATCCCTGATCACTAAAGAGGCCACGCCGGTCATTGACAATGTTATTTCACTCTCAAGTGCATCCAATGGACAGCCGTGTGTTTTAGGAAACCTCGTTCTGCAAGGTGACTATCCTCACTATCCTATGCATAGTATATCAATACCATAATGGTTATCGGTCGACATTAGAGATGTTCATTTATCAGTAATATTTACTTTACTAGTAATTTATAAATACTAATACTAATTTATTTATATTAGTAATTTTTATATACATGTATAAATATACATATATTGATTTTTTTTTTATTAAATTAAGTCATGCAAATTGGATCTTTTATTGTGCATGCACATTCCCCTTGCAGTCATTTAATTAAATAGCTCTAATATTTTAATAACACTGTTAAATGTAACCTTTAGCCAATCTCACAAATAATATACATTTTTGATACTGTAATGTTTCAATAGCTAAATTCACTTGTGTTGTAAATCTATTTTTAGTCTTTTTTTTATAATATGAAAATACTTATCGGATTATCTATCTCTGTAATGCCTGGTTCAGATTACACAACTTTTTGTCTGTTACGACAGTCAATGTGTCAGATTACACGATTTTGACTCTTAATATCTTGTGTCGTGGATGAGAAACATGTCTGACTACACGTTGCTTCCTGACCAGTCATCGCGTGCCTTCTTTAACGCGGCCCGTGATGTCATCAAGAAGGCGAAACTAGTTGCGAGTGACTTCCGGAAACGAACGTTAAACAAACAATGGATGAAGCAGTGAGTGTTGTATTGGCTGTCCTGTGTTCAGAAAAAAAATTAAATAAATAAAGAAAACCCGACAATGGGACACGTTCCTGGATTGCTCGAAGAGGACAGTATGGGCTGTCAATCCTCCAAAGAGAACTTGAGTTAAAATATTGTTTTCTTATATATTTTTACTTTTAGCACCATAGTCTCTCTTTCGTTTCACCATTTTTAAAGGTTGTGTACGGAAAAGCTTGTGCTCCTATTGGTCAACCTCATACATGTGACGGAACCGTCGTGGATGACCGTTAAAAAAATTAAACATGCTAGTCTTTTCGTTGTGATGCCGTGAAGCATTATAGACGCAACGTAGGTTGTTGCCCACTATGACACACTATACGACGCCCGTTGTCATTTACGAATCCCCCGACACCCTACGTCAAAAAGATTGTGCCAACAACGGGCTAAAATCGTGTAATTTGAACCAGGCATTAGGGATTGTATTGGTTGCCAGTTACATAATTGTTTGCATTGGATGTTTATGGCATGGAATGCCCTTGTTTGTTTATTTTTACAACTAAGCAACCATTTAACTATTCTATGTTATCTCTCACAATTAATTTTTTTGCTTCCTCAGGCTCTATTCCAGCTGCTACTGCAAAAATTTCTGTAAATGTGAGTTTTTTTCACTATCAATAGACTGTGCCCTCCTTCCCCCATCCCCCTCAACCAGTTCAGTGCCAATCCCACCCTACAGCTAATGTCATCGGTTAAGGTGTAGGCTATGGTTATGGGCTATTTGTTCTAGAATTGTGTAGGCAATCAGCACTGTAATTGGTCATGTCAATAAAATCTAAACAAAAGCTGCTCTTGAAATTTGTGTAAAAATCAACCACTGATCAGTCGTTCTCTCTTTACCCCAGGCGGCCAGCACACAGACAGACAGTGTAAAGGCTCCTGCTCCACCACCCCGAATCCTGAAGAACAAGGCACTACTCTGTAAACCCTTTTGTCAGAACAAAGGCACATCCTGTAAACCCAATGTCTGCGACATGAACACACAAACAGGTACTATGAAGCACTGTTGCAGACTTGTCTATAGTGGGAATTACGTGTTTTGTCACTCACATGTTGTGCTTGTCGGTTGTCTTCTAGATGGACCTTCTGTGATAGTACTTCCTGTGCCAGTGCCAGTCTATGTTCCGGTTCCCATGAATCTCTACACACAATACACTCCAAAGTCTGTGGGGTTACCGCTACCAGTGAGTATATTCCGGTTATTCCCTTTTCTTGTCTTCATCTTTGAGTTTTTAAACTATTATAGTTTTATACTAGCCTAGCCTGGCTAACGCCAAACCACGTACCATTGAGAATGAGATGTGGCCTGGGAACCACGTTCATTTTCTCGTATTTGAGGCGTGGTTTACGAATGCCCAGAGACTTATTATTGGGTGCTACGAATGTCTATCAAATGCGCCTGTACGTAGCTTAGTCAATTGGGTCAATGAGACCAGATGCCGCATGTAGAGTGACAGAAAATTCGACGTGGCAGACTGTGGCAAGGCAGCATGGGGAAACCCAGGCTAGTTTTAAACATTTTTGCTACCAAAATCAATATCTATCAATAATAACTGAAATAAAACAAACCAACAGAGCACTCTAAACTAATTAAATGTTTATCACTCATAAAATGTCAAATAAACATAACTAGTATTATGACTAAAATCTCACTAAACTGAGAAATTTCGCTCATTTAAAAAGAGTCTTGATACCAAAAAACTTTAGGGGGGAAAATACTAAAGATAATAGTGAAAACTAGACAAACTGAAACCTGAACTATTATAATTAAAGTAAATTGCATATCGTAGATTAAATTTGAAGGCAAACTATAGACTCCTACCCCTGATTACACCCTTTGTATATACTTGAATTATCATGTGTCTGTCTGTTTATGTAGGTTCCAGTGCCCTTGTTCTTCCCCACGACTCTGGACAGCGCTGAGCGCATTGTGAAGACCATTCAGGAAATCAAAGAGAAGATCCCAGATGACCCTCTGGAGGCTGACCTCATCATGATGGCAGAGATGGTGGCTGAAGATACAGAGAGGGAGAAAGGCATCACATCTGTTGGTAAATTAGGAACAATTTGATGGTTTTTATTTTTCACTTTTCTTACATTGTTGCAGCTCCTCTCTTCCCAGTCTGTCAGTAACGCTTTGTTTATTTCCTGTTTATATGAAGCCCCTCTTTCCGAAAAGTGAATTTGTCTGCTTGTTTTCTTTTTGTTCACTAGCCTTTTGTTTTGTTATTCAGATCAGGCTGAAAATATAATGGAGGACCTTGATCTGGAAGCCCTGTCCAACAATCTGAGTTGGGAGGAGGACTCGGTGTCTTCAGCTCAGACATGGGATCAACCCCCAGAGCCTGAAAGACTTCCACCATCCAGATCTGCCACACTGATCCCTGTCCCTACCTCAGCAGAAGAGCCACAGATGGACCTGGAGGCGGATTACCCAGTCGGTAAGAGCTTCTACAGAGGACAAAAGTCGGAACGTACAATCCAAGTTGTTTATTTTCCATTAAAGGGTTAGTTCACCCAAAAATGAAAATTCAGTACAAAGGAAGATATTTGGAAGAATGTTTTAATCAAACGGATCTCAATCCCCATTGACTACCATAGTATGTATTTTTTCCTACTATGGTAGTCAATGGGGATTGAGATTTGTTTGATTAAAACATTCTTCCAAATATCTTCCTTTGTGTTCAGCAGAACAAATAAACACACAGAGGTTTGGAACAACATGAGGGTGAGTAAATACTGACAGAATTTTCATTTTTAGGAGAACTAACCCTTTAATGTTTCATGTATCGATATTAGGGCTGTTGTTAACGCATGCGATTTTATTTGATTTTCTTCGCGTCATCGCATTAAGAAAATGTTGTGATGTGCAAGTGACTTGCACGCTTGAAAACAAAAGTCTATTAGATGGTGCATACACGCCAACCATGTCCTTCCAAGCTCACGGCCAAGCACGAGTGCTCTTGTTGCATTCTGAAACATCACCGCTAGAGGCCGCTAAAAAATGCATAGAGCACCTTTAAATCACATATTTAAAATATAGACATACTGTCTTTGTTTCTACATTAATTTGGAGATTAAATGTGAAATTATTACAATGAAAAATATATTTGAAAGAGATTGATCACACCAAACATTAATGTTTTTATTACAGAAAGATTTGCAATTCATTTTTAATCCATTGACAGCACTAATCTTGATCCTCTTACGTTTCAGAGAGCATTGAACTTTTCAGAGGGAAAACGCAAAAGGAGGCGACAGATACTGGCAAACGCAAATCTCGCAAGAGAGGACGTGATGGCCTCCCTCAGAAGAAACGGGTAAAGACAACTACTGTTTAATTATTCTCAACATTTCACATAAACTTTCAAACACTAACTATAGCAATACAGGATAACATTTATTTTATCATACTGAGTGTGTAAGGCCTACAAAATCGATCCAAAGACGGCATTCGATTTGAGGCGAAGGTTTCATGCTTGTTCCGTCTTTCCCATGGCAAAGTGATTTAATTAAATGCAACACATTTAATCTTATGTATTAACTCGTTTCATCTGACTCCATAAAAGGAAAAAGGTTTAACGATGATATCTGTGCATTTTTTAAATGTACGTTAATGTTTGACTATTCCTTTTAACTCTAATGAAAATAAAGTCAAAGTCTGTTAGAATAATCAAATATACCAATTTATTATGTCAGGTAAATGTATCATTACAATTCAATAATCAATTGAAAGATAATCAATGCAAACCATCAAATGTTCTTAGAACAATGAACTTTACCTAACATGTGGTTACGTGAGCTGAGAGTCGCGATATTCTCAACCTCACAGGCTCATCTTAATACAGAAAATGCAGCCCTGAACTCTCCGTTTCATTTCCTTATATAGCCAGACCTTACCTGATATATAAATCATCAGGTTACAATGGAAAGTTACTGTATTCCCCCAACATACTTACTGGGGGTAGAAGTTTTGACTGTTAAGAACGGTGGAAATTAGCATTCAGACAATCTCAGAAGGTTGACTCAAAGACACATCCCCTCTGTGTGCTAGATATTTATATGGAACTTTATTACCTTTTGATTTACTTCTTTGGGAATGAGACATTATTAACAGTCACCCTGAGACCTTTAAAATGATACTAAACAATCCTTAAAGATTATCACATTCACATTAAAACCATATATATTCTTGTGTGAGTTTTCGGTGTTACTGACAGAGAGAGAGAGAGAGAGAGAGAGAGAAAGATAAGATGCTCAGAGGAAGGGGGTAGGATATCAAATGTTAATTTTGCAAGCAATGCCATTGTCTTTAACCAGTTTTCCAGTCTTACATGTGACAAATCAGTTTGTTTATTCTGCAATATTTTGAGAGCATTTTGGGGTTGCATTGGATTTTCTCCTTTCCATGTTTGTGGAGTATACAGTGGGTACAGAGAGTATTCAGTATTCAGACCCCCTTAAATTGTTGACTCTTTGTTATATTGCCGCCATTTGCAAAAATCATTTAAGTTCATTTTTTCCCCTCATTATTGTACACACAGCACCCCATATTGACAGAAAAACACAGAACTGTTGACATTTTTGCACATTTATTAAAAAAAAAAAAAAACCTGAAATATCACACGGTCCTAAGTATTCAGACCCTTTGCTTAGTATATTTAGTAGAAGCACCATTTTGATCTAATACAGCCAAGAGTCTTTTTGGGAAAGATGCAACAAGTTTTTCACATCTGGATTTGGGTATCCTCTGCCATTCCTCCTTGCAGATCCTCTCCAGTTCTGTCAGGTTGAATGGTTAACGATGGTGGACAGCCATTTTCAGGTCTCCCCAGAGATGCTCAATTGGGTTTAAGTCAGGGCTCTGGCTGGGCCATTCAAGAACAGCCACGGAGTTGTTGTGACGCCACTCCTTCTTTACTATTCTCACCAAGGCTCTTCTCCCCCGATAGCTCAGTTTGGCCGGACGGCCAGCTCTAGGAAGGGTTCTGGTCGTCCTAAACATCTTCCATTTAAGGATTATGGAGGCCACTGTGCTCTTAGGAACCTTAAATGCAGCAGAATTTTTTTTTTGTAACCTTGGCCAGATCTGTGCCTTGCCACAATTCTGTCAAGAAGTTAAGGTTTTTGATGAAAACATTGCAGGATTTTTCTCCATATAATGCATTTTACTGGTAACCAAACGGTTCAAGGTCCAAAAGACATGTTTGATTGTGTTTTATTGGTGTGTGTAGGGCCGCAAGAGTGCAGCAGTGGTTCCAGCCAAACCGGCTCCAGACAACTTCTCAAACCTCTCCAAACTGCAACATGAGTATGCAGTCAATGCCTGGAGAGACTGGGTGCGCTGGAGGAACGCCCAACCCAACATGGAGACTCCCAAATTTGGCTGTAGGTCTCAGTTTGATGTATACCCAACATATTATCCCCAAAAGAAAGTTCCACAATTTAAAACAATTATTCATAAAAGTGGCTTAACGTGTTTCACAAGTTATATATATTTATTTGGCTATATGTATTTAGAAGGATTGAACCATAAACTTTACCATTGCTTGCATCATGCTTTAATTAAGCTACAAAATCTTCAACATGCCATTTAAGCATCAAACTCATCGTCCTTCATCCACAGCGCGTACTATAACGGTAAAGGAGGACCTGTTGAAGTGTTGCACGGCTGAACTGAGCTACGGCCTCTGCAAGTTCATCTCTGAAGTTCGTCGACCCAACGGAGAGAAGTACAGCCCTGACAGCGTCTATTACCTCTGCTTGGGCATCCAGCAGGTGAGACGAGAAGAAATCACACACGCTCAACACATTCAGTCATGATGTATTTAGTTTAATTGGCTCTCGTCGATTATGTTTACAGTTCCTGTTTGAGAACAATCGGATGGAGAACATCTTCTCGGATCTCTTCTACACCAAATTCTGCCATGAAATGACCAACTTACTTAAAGGATGGAAACCAACTATATTACCCACTGGTGAGTATTTTAAGAAACTGACATGAAACTGGCTTGTTTCTCTGTTGTGCTACTAACGCTTGTGTGTGTGTTTGTGCAGGTTACGTTCATTCTCGTGTGGAGGAGGAGTATCTGTGGAACTGTAAGCAGCTGGGAGCGTTTTCACCCGGCGTACTGCTCAACACGTTGCTCTATTTCTTCACAAAGTTCTTCAACTATAAGACAGTGGAGCAACACCGTCGCCTCTCTTTCGGCCACATCGTCCGCTGCTCTCGAAGCAAGGGCAGCACCAAAATGGCCTGTTTGCGTTTCTATCCCCCCAAAGATGACACAAGCTCTGGTCAGTGGTCAGCCATACCATCATAGCCTGATTGTGTGTTTTGTGTTCTTGTTGGGTGTATCATTTGTTTTTGCTCAATGTAGATGGCGTCCCTGCAAAGAAAAGAAAGGAAGAGGATGATGACAGTGACACTATATATGAGATAAAGGAAAATTTTGACAATCCTCTCCGCTGTCCTGTCAGGCTGTACGAATTCTATATCTCAAAATGGTATGTTTGAAATGTGAAATGACAGCTATACATGCATACATTAATAAACACACACGCGCGCTTGACATTAACACCCTACAAAAGCAGGTTGATTTCAGTGGTGGCATGTAACAGTCACTCCTACTAGCCACTTAAAATGCACCTGAAATAAACTACGTGCAATGTAGTGTTATCAAAAAATAAAAAATATGTATGTATGTATGTATGTATGTATGTATGTATGTATATATATATATATATACTGACATGCCTGAAACGCTTCCAATACTAAGTTTTTGCAGAATAGATTCATGATACCAGCTGCACTTTTTGTGCGCACATAAAGATGTCTAAATTGATATCCTAAATTGAGTTCTCTTTCGCTGCTTAATGTGCTTAAACAGTCAAATGCACACGAAATAATGTCAAAACGCCAGTCTTGCCGTATTCACGTAAACAGTCAGTTATGTTTTGAGTGAACGTAAACGGTTGAAAAAGAAAACGCATGTGAAATGGTATAATGGATCAGTGCATCAGGTCTTAAAGTGACTGCAGCATAATAAACCTACTGCCAAATTGTGAGATATTAAAAATATCTAAATGCAGTTTTTTTGCATGTCGAAATTGTGGCTAGTGAAAATGCTGAGTGGATTGTAACTTTGGAAAACCACTATAGCCACAGTGGCTGTTGAGCAAGACATTTGTCAAACGCTGAATCTCTTTTTCACTACAAATGTCATCAGTGTCACTTTTGATAAATTGAATGCATCCTTGCTGAACAAAAGTTTAAATTTCTTTAAAAAAAAAAAGTCTTACTGACCCCAAACTTTTGAACGGTTTAATGTTACAAAATATTTTTATTTCAGATAAATGCTTTACTTAATAAAAAAGTAAAGTGCATTTAAAATAAGGGAATATCATTGCTGCCCTATAATACACTCGTATTTTTCTTCCAGCTCACCCAGTGTGAGGCAATGCACGACCCAGTTCTACCTGAGCCCTGAGCGTTCCTGTGTACCCAGCAGTCCCATGTGGTTCTCAACCACCTCGCTGACTGATGAGATTCTGGACAGCATGCTCACACGCATCCTTACTGTCAGAGAACTGCACCTCGAGACGGACAAAACTCCCGCTGAGATCGATTCAGACAGTGACACGGATTTCAGACCGTGACCGTGAACGGAGACTCTCGCCTTAAGCGCACATCAAAATTGCAGAGTGAAGGAGGTGTCTTGGGGAAACGGTTCTCCTGGATGGCTCTGTGTAATTCTACAAAGATGACAACCTAAATGCCATTGTATTGGCTTGCGGATATTGATAGTGATTCCCAGGACTGGAAAACAAGTGTTTTGTCATTGTATTTTCCATGTAATAGTAGTTACGAGGCTGTACAGTTTTTCTTTTGGTTGTATGGGTTACATTTAGAGGACAATTTTATACAGTGCCACATTATACATAAGTGATCTTAAAAAGGGATTACTTCCCATTCTCTGTATTATGAAACACTAACAACATTGACAGCATCTTTGTACAACAGGCATTAAAAACAGTGGCTAATATATCCTCCCTTTGTTCATTGTAAAAATGAATGAGTGTTTTCATTCTTTTTGTAACCTTGCCATTCCAGGGTTTATTAATTCCTGTAATGGGCAACACTGTATTTCTTTGGATTAAAAAAGACAAAGCGGAATCTCTCATTTAATGTTTCAACATACTGGCTTTCAAGGTGTATCTTCACAAGTTGACATTTCAAATAAAGAATTACATACTTGCCTTTTCCACAGAAATGCATTTGTGCATTGCAGTCTCATTTTAAAATAAATTTGTACACATTGATATTCTGTTTGTGTACATTACAAAATGGCAAATGTAGGTCAGGAAAGCAAGAAATTGGTTCGAGATACAAAGATGTAAATGAGTGAAATTAAAATGTTCACTCCTTCTTTAATATGGAAAGGTGCAATTTAATACTTGATTTCATGTCCACATTAATTTTAGAGATCACCAAAAAAAATGTCAATTTTGCGATGGGTAAAATTAATTTTAATCGACTTTTAACACCATTATCCCTGCACTCCTCCGGATTGAATTAACCCAGCTCTCTGTTCCGAGCCATATCTATATTGTACACAATACCATGATATAATTTTAATTTGACTTGGATTAAATTACTTTTGAAGGCTAAAAAGAAACAGTATGCTGTTGGGAGAGTGTTTTTATATTACCAGAACAGTGTTCAGTGGATTAAATCATTTAGTAGATTAACGATCGATCAATCAACACTCGTACAGTCATAAATTATTAAATCAACATTCGAATTTGACAAATAATCAATTTTCTTGTCCCTAATAGTCAACATAATGCAGGGGAAATTGTAAAATTAACTGCAGCAGTACTAACGTGCATCATAAAATTACAACACTGACTGTCGACAGTTTCTTTTCCATGGATAATTTTACCATCCATGTATGTGGTTACAGTCAAATCATATAAAACAGTGAAATCGTCCTCGGCTCGAACTCTTCTGTCTTGCCTGCACTCGAGACAGGACGCGTGAAGCCCCGCCCCGCTCGCGCGTGAAAATCGCTTCTCATTTGCATAAAGTGTCGTTTGACACGCCCACATTCTGTTGCCAACGTCACTGCTGGCGGTGTGAACCTCGCGTCTGTGTAAACATGTCATAGTTCATGAGGTCAATGAGAAGTCTATGTATTTTATATATCTATGTAGCAGCGTGTTTTTTTTTTTATTTGCAAAACATTTTTTTTTTTTTTGCAAAACATTTTTTTATTTGCAAAACATATTTTTTTTTTTTTTGCGAAACATTGTTTTATTTTGCAGATATATGGCCCTATATTTACTCCATAAGCGTGAGCTCCGGTTAAAAGTGACGAGCACGGAAGCGAGCGTTGTTTAACAGCGAAAATAAGTGAGTCGTTTAGGCACAAATCTATTGTATTCTTGAAATGGTGCGTTCGTGCGTCTACCCAGGATGCTTCAGATTATGTAAAGTCGCAAGATTACGTGCTCTGACATCAAAGGGAGATAGACTAACATTTCACAAATTCCCTGTATATGATACTGAGCGACTGAAGCTGTGGCTTCTCGCTGTTCGCTGGGATGTAAACACACCCGTGGAAAAAATCAAGAGATCCAGGCTATGCAGTGAACATTTCACACCCGAGGATTTCAAGCCAGAGAAGGGAAATTCAAAACGATTTCTGAAATCGTCAGCTGTGCCTGTGCTGTTTTTTCATCCAAATGAGGTATTTATTTAACTTTATTGTAATGTGTTTCTTATACAGAAATAAGAAAAAAAAAATTTTTTTCTTATTTCTGGAAGCTTTTAAAATTTTGTTATAGACTTTGGGCAAGAAATTCAACTTTTAAATGACAAAATAGATTGTCTTGATTAAAATCAATTAATGTCATGTGACTAGTGTGGAAGGTCACATGACCAGACCAGATGTCTTCCTCAGACTACTACAAAAAGTAGTAGGCTATATAAAACATCTTAATTTACAGATAGAACTATCATAATTTGTACATATATTCTTTAAAGGGTCTACTACTGATAGGTATTGGCTGGTGTTGGCAATCCTACACTGAACATATCTCACACCTGTGAGGGGGATGGATGGTCTTGGGAAAGGAGAAGTGCTCACTAACACAGATTTAGACAGATTTGTGAACACAATTTTTTAGAGAAATTTGCTTTTGTGTACATAAAAAGGTCTTAGATCTTTGAGTTCAGTTCACCTCATGAATAATGGGGGCGAAAACAAAAGTGTTGTGTTTATAATTTTGTTCAGTGTCGTTATCAGTATCCCAGAAACGTTCAGTGTGTTGAACCTTCTTGACGTACGTGTTTTTTTTTTTATTATTGGATCGCTACATTTAATTTAAAGGGATAGTTCACACATAAAAATGGAAATTTGCTGTTAATTTACTCACTCTTAGGTCATCCATCAAGTAGTCAAGATGTTGAGATAGTCAAGATTTTTAGCTAAAACTGTGGTCCTCTATGATTCATATAATGGAAGGCATTGGGTGCTGGTGTTGTGGTTTAACTGGTTTCCATGTTATCTAGTGAATCTTGGGGATTATAGTTCACCCAAAATTTAAATGTGTCATTACTAATTCATCCTCATGTCGTTCCAAACCCGGCCTTAATACTTTCGTTCATCATCAGAACACAAATTAAGATATTTTGGATGAAATCCAAGAGCTTTCTGTCCCCCCATAGACAGCAATGTTACTACCACTTTTAAGGCCCAGAAAGGTAGTAAAGACATTGTTAAAATAGTCCATGTGACTAGTGGTTCAACCTTAATTTTATGTAGTGACAAGAATACTTTTTGTGTGCAAAAAAAATTCAACAATTCCTTCTCTTCCTGTGTCAGTCTCCGACGCACGTTCGCAAGAACACCACGGCGCATGCGTGTGGCTTTCTAAAATAGAACCCGGAAGCCCTGCACAGTTTACAAGCTGACGCATGCTGTATGTAATCTATTGAATTCCACATTGATTTTGTTTTAGGTCTTGATGAAGTGTTATGATGCCCAAACCGTGAGAAACCAATGAGAGAACATAAAAGTTCCTCACCAATGCCACCAGATGAAAGACTTACCTTTCATACTTTCCCAGTGGCGGTTCTACATTGAATTACACCCCAGGCGAGACCCCCTTCGAGCACCCTTTTTATAAATCAAAGTGGCAGAGCTACTCATGTAATACAATATTTAATTCATCGCTTCGCTGCTGAAGGCATTTATTAATCCCCCGGAGTGGAGCACTTTTATGATGGACAGATCATAACGGCCATTTACTGCCATTAGATTGAAGAGCCAGGATATTTTTTAATAAAACTCTGATTGTATTCACCTGAAAGAATAATGGCATACACCTAGGATGACTTAGGGCGAGTAAATTATGGGCTAATTTAAATTTTGGGGGTGAACTATTCCTTTGTTTCAACTGATTTAAAAATAAAAAAATACGTTAACTGGGCCAATCTCACTCGGGAAGATTGACCTTTCACCGATTCCCAACATTTGATCCAGATCGACTGAAGTTATGGTTGCTTGCTCTTCGGATGGATGTCAAGACTCAAAGTGTGGATGGAGGGGATGGTCTGCAGTGACCATTTCCCCCCTGATGATTTCAAAGCCATACAAGGGAATAAAGTATTACTGAATTCATCAGCTGTGCCTATGGTTTTTTCACTAGGACCTGAGGTAACCTTACGTGATAGGTGTGTGTGAGTGTGTGTGTGTGTGTGTGTGTGTGTGTGTGTGTGTGTGTGTGTGTGTGTGTGTGTGTGTGTGTGTGTGTGTGTGTGTGTGTGTGTGTGTGTAATAATGTACACTATATTTTCACAAATTTCGTTTGTAACACTCAAGTGAACAATAAATGTATTTTCTACTTGCCCACTTTGTGTGAATGCCAAAGAACAGAATACTTTTACTTTACATTACTAGAAAAGTAAAAGAAAAAAAACAAACAAAGAGTGGTGGAGTCCCTTTAATGAATGTTCATTCTGCGGCCAAAGTTGGAAATATTTCGTGCATCCAACACCAAGTCCTGTCTATCCTGAAATGTCAAAAACTGCTTCCCAAACTCAAAATTAAATAACATATTTCAAATAATGTGCAATCATATTAAGCTCTGGTACTAGGATACGCGCATCTCTCTACGGCTGGCTCTGGGTATGCGCGTTCTCGAGAGAGCGAGAGGGGGAGGGTTAAATCTGACTGATTCTCGCCTACTACTCGCCGGAAGTGTCTCGCGCGGGTGTACGTCACTCATTGTTTACACAGAACAGAGATTGTAGGCAAGACATACTGCTAATTAAAATGGTACTAATTTGCGCTTATCCGGGATGTTTAAGCCGTCGTAAACGAAAACAATTACGTATGCTCGCGCGAACTCATTCGGGAGTGGTGAGTTTTCACAAATTCCCAATTTCAAATCCTTCTCTCTTGAAGTTATGGTTGATCGCTCTTCGGCTGGATATCAACACACCCATAAACTTACTAAAGTTGAAGAGGGTCTGCAGCGATCATTTTTCCCCTGATGATTTTACAAACCAAGGAGAGGATCGCATAGTACTGACATCATCAGCTGTGCCTATGCTTTCGCATTCAACGGAGGTATGTGAACAGCGTCTTTGTATGTGTCCTTTCTATTTGAAAAGCTGGCATTGCATGAAATGTTATGCTAAGTTAAGCTTATTCACCGTATCCCCCACATGCTACCCTTCTTATTTCCGACACGACACGTGCCAATGTAACTTACCTCTGAAAGGAAGTGTATCCCCGGTCGCGGGAGCGCGCTCTCAACAGACCTTGCTTTGACCAATGTAAATGAAACTATAACACGTGAATTGTTAAAGTTAAGTTTTTTTTTATTGTTGTTTTAACAAGGTTTAGCAAAGACAGCTATCACGTGGCTCATCTATCAAAACTAATTATTTTATTCTTCTGTAGGTTAACGATCGAATTCATGCAATGAATTGATCAATTCTCGAGAGAATGTTTAAAGTTACTGAAAACCCAAGGCGACCATTTAGTTTCACTCATGAAGCAAACAGCCCGTGGATATAAAATTGTTCTGAATCCCCCCTCCTCCTTTCATGGTGAATTATTATCAAAACGATTCAATAATGCATTGCATGTAAACAGTAGGCTGGTCAATATCATACACAAAAAGCGATTGTACAGATGATGGCCTATCATCAAGTGTTTTATTTTACTTTACATCATGTCTAATAATGGCAGTGAACACA